ATTCCAAAAAATTCTACGAATCCAATGATACCATTCTCATCTTCGTAGGACGTTAATCAGCTGAGATATTAATTAAAAACTGTGAAAACGCTAATTTTCGGGCTCATTTTTCCGATTGCAACAGTTTCTTGAATCGCCGCAGATACAAATCAAGGTTATATTCTAAAGTTGAATAAAGCACGCGATTGCATGTTACCTAACTGTGTTTTAAAAATATTTCGTTAATGTAGGCATTTTAAATAAACAGCTGCTTTTCACAATTTTTTTTAATTTCAGGTTAGGATGATTGTCACGTTAATTCTTTTATTGATATTGAATAAAAGTTATTATATTACATTAAATTTAAATGATGACGTTCTTGAAGTTGTACAACTTTAATCAGCTGGGATATTAATTAAAAAATCTGAAAAAGCTATTTTTTAAAAATATGTTGTTATTTTTAATAATAAATTTGATTTTTTGGAATTATATATTTTTTATGTTATTAGATACGTGCACTTAATTTAGATATTATCTTTGAATGCAAATGATATTTTAAATAAGTTCGCACCAATAAAAATTAAATTCACCCTTTTTTTTTTTTTTTTTTTAGATTAAAGATTTTTCTTTGCTTCTTTGAGATGGTATACGGTAACTTTCGAATCCCGGTGAGCAGGCAGGCTACACTCATGTTTTCTGTGATTTTACGCATATCTGTTGTGTATGCAGTGTCTTCTGGATGCATAAATGAATAAAGCTGAACTCTGGTAGTTCGGTCCTAATTTCGAATCCCGGCGAACGGGCTGGGTCCATGGGTGTTTGCGTGATTTTACGCATGTGCCTCGTGTACGCAGCATCTTCTGGATGCATAAGTGAATAAAGCGGCCGAAATTCGCTCAAAACCTCTGATTACTGGTAGTTCGGTCCAACTTTCGAATCCAAGCGACCGTGTTGGCTCAATGTGTGTTTCCGGGATTTTTCGCATGTGTAACGTGTATGCGGTATCTTCTGCATGCATACTTGAATAAAGCGGGAGCAGCCCGCGCAAAACTACAGAACACTGGTAGTTCGGTCCAACTTTCGAATTCCGGGGTACTGTACATAAAATTTGGTCGCATACGTGAATACAGCGCGCGGATACCGGGTAAAACCGCTGAACACTGGTAGTTCGGTCAAACATTCGAATCTCTGCGAGCGGGCTGGCTGCATGGGTGTTTTCCTGATTTTCCGCATGTGTATAGTGTATAAAGTGATTTCTGGATGCATATGTGATAAAAGTGGGCGCAGCCTGCTCAAAACCTCTTAACGCTGGTAGTTCGATCCAACTTTCGGTGTCGGCGAACGAGCTGTCTCCCCGAGTGTTTCTTGCTTTAACTCATGTGTATCGTTTATGCAGTATCCTCTCCATGCTTATGTGTATAAAGCGGGCGCAGCCCGCTCCACAAAATCGCTGAACACTGGTATTTCGGTCCTACTTTCGAATTCCGGGGTACTGTATATAAAATTTGGATGCATACGTGAATACAGCGCGCAGATACCGGGTAAAACCGCTGAACACTGGTAGTTCGCTCAAACTTTCGAATCTCGGCGAGCGGGCTGGCTGCATGGGTGTTTTCGTGATTGTTCGCATGTGTATCATTTATAAAGTATCTCATGGATGCATACGTGAATAAAGCGGGCACAGAATACTGGTAATGCGGTAATTTCGAATCCCGACGAACTGGCTGGCTCCATGGGTGTTTTCGTGATTTTACGCATGTGTATAGTGTATGGAGTATCTTCTGGGTGTATATGTGAATAAAGCGGGCAGAGCCCGCGCAAAGCCACATAACACTGATAATTCGGTCCAACTTTCGAATACCGGCGAACAGGCAGGCTCCATGTTTATTTTCGTGATTTTACGCATGTGTATCATTTATGCACCATCTTCAGCATGCATACGTGAATAAAGCGGGCACAGCACGCGCAAAATCGCTGAAAAATTGTATTTCGGTCCAACTTTCGAATCGGCAGCGGGCTGGCTGGAGGGTGTTTTCGTCGTGATTTTACGCATGTGTACGGTGTACGCAGTATCTTTTGCATGCACACGTGAACACTGTTTTGGGCGGGCTCCCGCCCAAAAGCGCTGAACACTGGTATTTCGGTCCAAATTTCGAATACCCGCGAAAGGGCTGGAAGCATGGGTGTTTTCGTGATTTTCCGCATATGTATAGTGTATGCGGTAACTTCTGGATGCATAGGTGAAAAAAGCGGGGGAAGCCCGCGGAATGCCGCTAAAAAATGGTAGTTCGGTTCAACTTTTCAATACCGGCCAAATTTAACATAGGATATCTTTTAAAAACGAACAATGATAAGCGGGCTTCAGCCCGCTCAGCTGGCGGGCTTGCCCGCTAGTAAATATATGAAATTTTGCAAACTTTCGTAGCATATAATACCAAAAATTAGTAGAAGGAAATCAAAAATTTTTGTAAATGAGTTTATAAAAAGGTTTGCTCCTGCACCGTGAAAAAAATGCCAGCTTTTAATAATAAAATCCTGTTGTACCTCCTATCCGCCAACGAAGAGAAATTTTGGAAGAAATTAGAAAACGATTAAAAAACTTATCTATGACGAATTACTTGAAAAATAGTTGATAATAGGATTACACAAAAACATTCATAAAACACAGCTATGGAGTTTTCGATGCTTACGTCCTAGGTTTAGCTTCAGTATGCTAAAATTTTGAAACCTTATCCTAGCCTTAAAAAAAATAATTCCCATCACCTCAAAAAATCAAAAAAACTCATTAACGAACTCACTCGTATGAATCATTACAGTCATATTTTTGATTTCGCACGATAAGTGCAGTAAGATTTAATAAAAGTGAACGAGCAGAGTTGAAACAGTGAATGGGTATAATAAAGTGCAATTTAGTAAAACAAAATAAATAAGACTCTAAGCTACTACCAAATCCTGTTTAATGCTTTGCAGGCATAGTAATTGTAATGATGAAAATCTGATGCTTGACTTACTCGACCTTGAACATCTGCCCTTTTCGAGAATATTTACGTAGGAAAACCCAGATAAATCTTCATTTAATTATTCTTGTTAAAAGAAATTTTTTCTCTAAAGTAAAGAAATTTAAGGTAATCTGTATACGTTGAAATGACCAATTCTGATGAAAAATCACATTTTGCTTTATTGTTTTTTATTCGTTACAGCCTATCTTTAGCTTTACAAAACAAGTTTGTTTTCATGTGTGAGCACTTAAAATCGCAAACAGTAGCCATTTAAAGGGCTGGATATCTGTTAGGAATTAATTTAAGGAGAAAATTTTTGAAATTGTATTTTCAATAAGGTTTTTGAGACAATAATTTAGAAACTAGATGCATTTTAACATGGATATATTGCCCAATTCAATATCGTGTTGGCCACAGGTTTTGAAACAATTCGCTAACTAATGCCTTTATTGATAAGCTTCAAAATTATTACAGAATTGCAATTCACAGCAATTGCCAATAATTTGAAGTGTACTGGCACTTGCTGCGGAATACTTTACATACACAGCCATTTGCCTCTGTAGTGTCCTGCCGGCTTTAATATCTAGCGCTGTTTTCAGCAAGCTGCAGCTATTACAACAAAATGCAGGAATAACTCCAAACGAAGCCAATAATAATAATACAAGCATATGAAACTGTGTTATCAAAATTTATTGGTGAAATGCATACATGGGAGAACATATAAAGCAAGCAAAGAGCTGAAAGTGTTCTATGACAGTTCATCCCGAAAGACACTTTTGTTGATCAACAGACCCTAAATTTATGGATATAAAAACCTGTTATGTAAATCAAAAAGAGGTTCTAAAGTGTCATTTGATGTTCTTAAAAACTTTTTACATTCATCCTAGCGGTTACACATTGGAAGCACTTTCTAAAACTGGAAGATGAACAAATTATAGAATTTGTACTCAGAATCTTGGTTAAAACTTGCCAGCCGGAAAAAATAGAATGGTCAAAAGGCTAAATATAAAGAGGAAAAAATGGCTAAATATAATCATAAGGAGAGTATAACTTATAAATCTGGGAAGTTTTAGGCATGTTAGTGCATTTCTTCCTTTTTATTTCAGTATAGATACAATAATATGAATTAAAAGATTGTTGTTTGCGGATAATTTCCTCGTTTTAGAACGATAACTCAAAATATTATTATCATGCTTTTATGAAACGCTGTGTGCTTTGTCGTTATATTGCTTTCTAGTTAGTGCATATACTAAAAGAAATTAGACTGCGTGATTAATTTTATAATAATGGTCTGTTTTTTGAGTTATTGCACGGTTAATATGCCCGAAAGTATCGTAATTATTGTTCTATCATGCCTAATTTTTTATCACAATATCTATTAAATAACAGCACAAATACTAGAAGAAAGCATACGATTTATTTTAGTGCTATTGTTGCTTAAGTAATTCTTAATGTTTTTACAGAAGCACTTTTTAAAGCTTTGAAAAATATCCCTTATTTTCCATATTTAATTAACAGTTTTGTTAAATAACAATGATTTTTTTCAAAAATTGACAGTCTAACTCTTAGGAAAAACATTACAATATACATTACCATTACGTGCATTTTATTCATGCAATACTTGTTTAAACAGTCAGGAATGTTTGAAGAACCAATTAGGCATACTACAAGAGGTATTAGTATACTGTATTTAAGATGCTTTTGGGTTATGATTGTGATTACGGTAAAGTCTCGAGAGCTATCTGCTTAAGGGGAGGGATGCCTTCGTGGAGGACTTTCTGGTTTTTTTGGTAAGGAAACTGGCTCGTATACACGTTACATATGGGGAAAACCACGAAAACGCCCATGCAGCCAGCCCATTCGGGATATTCGAACCCCCGACCGACCTACCAGTGTTAGGCGACTTTACCGCTCAACCGCTGGTGTTCCGTTTTTAAGTTGCTTACCTGAAGTAAAAACGACAGTTTTTATGACAGTTTTTTTAGTATGTTAATTTGAATCGTACTTTCTATATTTACTTACTTTTTTGGCGACGGCACTCAATTCCACAGCAGCATCCATACCAGAATTCCCGACACCCACGACAACAACTCGCATATCTTCAAAGCCGTCAACTTTCTTTAAACTGTGTGTATGTAGGATTTTGCCTTGGAAGTCCTCTTGTCCAGGGAAAACAGGCTCATTCGGGTAGACATGGTGGCCAATGCAAACGCAGACACAATCGAAAACTTCACTCACTAATTCTCCCGTTTTAGTATTTTTATTCGTTACTTTCCAGCGACCAGTTTCCTAGAACAGAAAAATAGTTGACTACGATTTCAAGTTATTAACGTACCTTTCTTCTACAGTTGAAAAACTGTAAATGTAATAACTTAAAAACAATTCTAACTTTGCATACAGTCAAACTTCAGGAAATAATCGACATATTCATATTTTCAAAAATTTCGAGAACATTGATTGAAATATTAGCAAAATTCTTTGGCAGAATGTTTTACACAAATTTTCAAATGAAGTAACAAATGAGCTTCATTTCTGACTAAAATATTTCAAATGAGCTTCATTTCTGACTAAAATCTTTCAAATGAGCTTCATTTCTAACTAAGATATACCGCTCATTTAAAGAAAAACTAGCTCAAAAGTTAAATAAGAGATTATTGCTTCTGAACGTAGAGAATAATTCTTAATATTATTTTATCATAAAATGAAATTTTCATCCATTTACGCTTTTCTAAGAAAGATGCTTGATTTGGTTGATTTTAATTAGAGTGATTGGTTTCAATTGGTTGATTACGGCAAAGCACTCGAGGGATATCTGACTAAGGAGAGGGACACCTTCGTGGAGAACTTTCTAAGGGAAACGCGGAAACAATATCCGGTTAGGTTATTTCTATTTGGCAAAGAACATAAGGGCTATCTGCTTAAAGGGAGAGATACGTAGCATCGTTGAGCACTTTCCAAGGAAAACTGTGACCTCTTTAATTTACACACGGGGAATACCGCGAAAAAGATTCCATGAAGCTAGTCCTTTCGCCTCAGTTCGAGCACAGATTGAACTGCCAGTATTCACTAGCCGTTTCTTAACCACTCGGCTGCTGGTTGAGTTCGATAAAATAAAGAAAAAAGTGAAATTTGGAGGGTAAAAAAAGAGAGGTGGTCAGTTTTCAGTCTCAATGGTTTAACGATATTTTTGTTCGCCAATGGCCAAGTGGTTAAAAAGGCTCCGTTATGTTCATTTGATTATGACAAAATTTCATTTGAACATGGGAAAGCCCACGATGAATAATGAAGTCAATGATATTTTTAAATTATATTTCACAATATACTTCTTTTAAAATTTATACGCATGGTTGGTTTGGTTTGATTTATTACGGAAAAGCACGCTAGGGCTATCTTCCTAAGGAAAGGGATGCCTCTGTGAAGGACTTTCTAAGGTAAACTGGCTCGTATACACGTTACACATGGGGAAAATCACGAAAACGCCCATGCAGCTAGCCCGTTCGCTGGATTCGAACCCAGATCAGAACTACCAGTGTTCAGCGATTTTACCGCTTGGCCACTGGTGGGCTTTATACGCATGTTTTCGTACGAACACAATCCTACATTCGTATATTACAATCACATATTATACTACATTAACTTTATGTTTCATTCAATTGTTTAGCGTTCACTGAAAGATTCAGGGCTAAACAGTTTTATATTAATATTAGGCCTATTCGTGCTAAAAAGCCATCATAGTTTACTTCTAACTAAATCCTTATAGTTTTAGCTTAAATACCACTGTTTTTGCTACCTTGGTGGGTTACAAAAAGCAGTGACATAAATAATTGCAGTTAGAAATGCTGACTAACATCCCACAAAAACATTTAATCTATATTTATGAGCTTATCAAACTTTTCTTTCTTGAGATAAGCTTCTTACAAATCTGATACAAAGATTTGTAAGAAGATTTGTTTTCTTACAAAGTTCTTAATAACGTAATGATTTTGAGCTTCTTACGTAACTTAAAAGGTCATTTAGAAGAGACCGCGATTATTCAAATCGACACGAAAGGAAAAATGCCTTACATTTCCTGCAACAATTATTTCACGATCGAAAAACCTTTTGAAATCTTTTACGTATCAGGAGTACAAAATTTGACCCTGAAAAAAACCCGTTTTCTTTGTTCGATCTAACTGAACGAAAATTTTACATTTCTTTAAACAGAATAACTGACAAGGTCGCGAAAAGTGCTGTGTTTACTCGGAGTCCTGGCATTAGCCAAGGAGGCTGGTCTCATAAATAAAGATAGACTGACGCGCCTGTACTTATCATTCGTCACAGACGTTACGATAATAGAATGACTGCGTCCAGCTTCATTGCAACTTTTATCTTATTAGGCATGTCGCAGGCTGGAGTCGACAATACGCCAAGATTTCATATCCGTCTACCCCTACCATTTATCCCTATTAACCATTTTACTAACAAGTACACTTTCAGAGCGAGAATTTTAAACGACCTTTTCGAGAAGACAAGACTATCATGTACGTCCATTTCTAACCCCTCAAACCTTCTGTGTACAACTGACCACCACAAGCGGCAAGTCGCCTACAGCTTTATAAGTAACAAAATTTCGCAATCGGGATGGAGCTTTTAAAGTTGAAACATGCTGTTATTTCTGTCACAAAGTAGACAGTGTAATTGTTAATTTCCTTCTAATTCATTGATTTTCAATGTGAAGGGGGGTGCTTCCCAAGGGAGGTGCGGCGATATCTAAAGGAGGGCGCCAGTGGGCCAAGAGACAGTCCACCGCCCGCGCACATGGCACCCCCGCATCACCCCACCGTATCTCCTAGTAGAGGTGTCAAATACAGGGGCCCTACCCCTTGAAGAATAATTGACTTTTGACATAAATAAAGATAGACTTAATTTTAAGGCAAATAACCTGTTAAAGATAAACTTTTAATTTTTTTAAATAAATAAATTTAGTGGGTTTAGGAAGTTCAAAGGTTCTGAAAAATAAGTGGAGATATTTAAGCAGAATATTATCAGAAGTTAGAGGCCTTAGGCCGTCGAGCTAGTGGATAGTTGACAGAAGTAAATTATAACAGGTAATGAGAATCAAGGGTACTTTGAATCCAATGTGAATACATGGTGCACAATGCATAATAATAATTATACAGAGAATGCAATGCATAAAAACTAAAAAGAAAATACAATAAACCAAGAATACAATGCGTACATACAACTACATATTCCAAATATTAAAAATGGCCAGAGGCCAGTTGATGTTATTTAAGCCATTTAAAGTCGTAATCACATATTTTAATGACAGGGTTGTTTATCTGTCTTCGTCTCTCATGAAAACTTTTGGCAAGATTATAATAGTATATTCTTAAAAGAACCAAACCCAAATTTGGTTATCTGACGTAGAACACTGTTTTGAAAAACTTATAGCTTTTTACGGTTAGATTTTCAGGCATGCCCAAACTGGACTTGAGTACGCAGTTGAGGACGCAGAATGGATTTATAAATGAGTAACTTGTTATCTATAGATAAAACACTGTTTCGAGCAAGTAAGGAGAAGAGTCAGGCTTTAGGCACTCGGAACTTCTGGATAATATAGATATGATGTGTGGGGACCATGTAAGAGTATTATTGAGGATCCCGATCCCGCCGTGCTGCGCTCGAGTCTTAGTGGGCCTCAATTCACTCAGTATCTATCACGCAAGCAGTGCAGTTATGCGAACTTTTGATGCGAAAATAAACTGTCAACTTATTTTTTTTTACTTCGTCATGACATCATCTAAAAAACGCAAATACGACGATGATTATTAAATTAAATATGAATTTGTTGTTATACAAAAAAAAATTTTCTCGGCGAGCTGTAATGTGTTATTCGTTAAGAAGTATTGAGCAGTTGATACCACGAAGCCTTCTCGTCTGGAACGACATTTGTCAACAAAATATAAAGTGTTTAAAGACAAGCCGAAGGAGGTTTTTTCCCACAAAGTGTGCACGTTTGAAACGGATGCAATTGGATAACATTTGCTTTGCGGAGTCATCTGAAAAAACGCTCGAAGCTTCGTAAGAGAAGCGCCTTTACTTATCATCATTACTAAGTCCGAGAAAAGTCATAATTATCGAAGAAAAACCCGTCAAGCAAGTTGAAAGCAGCTGATATTGTTCTTGGACCAAAACATAAAGAAAAACTTCTACAGATACTGCTTTCTAACAACACTGTGAAACCTTGCATTGATGCTATGGCCGAAGATATAAAGAATCAATTAGTGCATGCTGTGAAAGAATCGCGTTTTCCCGCAATTTAGCCGGATGAGAGTACAGATGTTGCAAAATGGTGTCAACTGTTAGTTTACATTCGATATATGCAAAATAAAAAATTCAAAGACGAACTGCTGTTTTCTACAGAGTTAAAAACTATTTCCAATGCAATGCATATAATGACAACACTCCCTGAATTCTATTATAAATATGAACTGCCATGTCAAACGCTGACAGGCGAATGCACAAACGGCGCTCCATCATTCTTTGGGTTTCGCTCAGGATTCGTACTGATGGTCAGAGAAAAAAGTTCCAGTATTTCTGCTATTCACTGTGTTATACACCGTCAAGCCTTTGCAGCGAAAACACTTCCAAAAGTACTCAATGATGTCTTAAAATTATGCTTCAAAATTATCAATCAAGTTAAAAAGAGGCGTTAAATACTGGACTTTTTACTGTCCTCTATGAAGATTTGGGAGCAGGATATAGAGCACCGTTATTTGGGTTATAACCGAAAACATCGCGGACAAAAATGTCGCGGAGAAAGCGTCCTGGTACTTCGCAGTTTGAAAACATCGTCGTCAGAAATATCGTGGTAAAAAATAAAGTACCTACAAATCATCGCATGTTGATAACATCGCACACATGCGTTTATTAAATCCCATACTGACATATTATGTAACTGACTTTCGTCGTAACTAACAAATCGACATAAAAAAAAAAAAAAAAAAACTGATTGCATGCTATACATGAAAATGTTAACGACACTTTAAGAATAATCAGAAACAAAATAAAATATAATTTTCACTACAAAAATATCGGATTAACAAACGTGAAAGAAAATAATTTGATAATTAACCAAGCAATTTTTATAGAGGTAACCTTATGCAGTTATTTATCTTCCATTTTCTAAGCACTTTTAGACTGTATTTTTCATAAAAAATTACCAATAAATATTTATAAAAAAGTTTAATTTATTAATGACCTTTGTTAGTTTACTATGTAAATTTAAAATTCTATTAGTTGCATTA